GTAGCATAGAATACGTATTGGTTTTACTATAATGTGTATCTTTCCCCGACAGTTTACAACATTTCTTCCGGAAATCTTGCTCGTCGATCAGTAATCTCGAAGGTGGTTAGGTTTTTGGTAGTAAATTTTGTCTTGTTGATAGGTACATTGAGGAGATCTTTTTTCCTTGTAATTTTCTTAATAACGGGAAAACTCCGAAAGTTGAAATATTTGTAGCTATTTAAAACTGTCGAGTTTTTTTTGGTTTTATTTAATTTTAAGTGAATAAAAATTGTTTTTTCTCAAAAATGCTCGATAATTTCATACAAGGTTCATCGTCACGTTATGTGTTTTTTTTATAGCGATATAAATCGGAAAAAGTAAAATTTGTAAAAAAAAGTACGAGCAATTTTATTTTAAAGACACAAGTTAATATAACTTTCAAATTAAATTTGCAAAATATAGTTAACAAAAGGTAGTAAACATGAATTGCGAATGCAAATATAATTTTACTCTGTTAACATATTTATCAGTTAAAAAGTTCCATTACAATTTCAGATGGGATAAAGAAAATTATTTCTCGCACGTGTAAATCCTCGTCAATATAGAAAATGTAAATGAATAATATACAATCTCAGCCACAATATACCTATTTGCGATAAACAAGTACACATAAATTTCCATTCATATATTACCACAATAAAATGCACATACTTATATACTGTATTTAACTTTGAAAAAAAAGTGCGTTTTTAATACGTGTAAAACAATATCCTTTGATAGTATTTGATTATTATACCAATTACATGTACCTGCTTCTTCGTTTCTTAAATTATATGCAATAATTTATGCGTGTTGAACAATTAATTTTCTGCAATTTGACAATGGCAAATTACTCAGTTATGAACACATCTAATCCAAAAGTTCAAATAGAATTTTTCCTGCAGCAAGTAAACTTCACAGGAAGTCGGTTTCCATAAAAGTGTACATACTCGTATGCAGTAGGTATACGTCTTGAAAGCTTTTTTTCCCAGGATCGGAACAACACAATAAAATATTAACACAACAAAACCTTTGGCGCTTTTTGTTTGAAAAACACAGCAGTAAATTGAAATTCAACGACGCACTTTTATTCTCTGGGAAATATACTTGAAACTATACATATACGTAATTTTACCAGAATTATAAGTGTTGTAACCAAACACATTAGGGTTTTAAAATTCGTGACAACAAAGTCGAAATAAGAGTGAATACATCCACGATTCCAATATGATATGTATAAATAAACACTCAATATTATATTATATACAAAACCGTTATTTACATAAAATATACGGCAAAATCAATATCAAATTCATGGAGTGGACATAAACATCATGCGCATATTATTATATCGTATGAAACCGTGTTGTTTACCATGTACAAATGTTTTCCATGCAATTAATCTATATTAACAAAAGGAAAAGTCTATCTGTTTGACTGTACACGATCCAAAACCAAATCTATCGCACGCAGAGGTCTGAAAATGCAGGAACAGAAGTTGATGAACGGCTAGATGTGTACCTCATTAATGGATTTCCGAAATTCAACCCCTAAAGAGTGGTTAACACAAGGTTGTTGATATTTTTGGTAAGAAATTTTTTTTTTTTTTTTTTTTTTTTGTTAGTTTATGAATTACCTTCGTGACATGAATAAAAAAAAAAAACAGTTGTTAATATTTTATTTGTTTGTCACTGGCAATAAAATATCCTTTTTAACAGCAGCTTAATGTGAAATGAAGGCCTGAAACGAAAAGATACGATTTAATTTGTACATGCATTATTTCTATTAAATACTGTACTCAGGCATACCCTAAAAATTAAAACAACAATTATTTAAATATTATTTCGTTCGTTTGAAAAATATTTATTATTGTTACTGATTTCTATAATTAATTTACCAATATATGTTTACTGCAGTAGCACACAGATAATAAAGGTTACGAATTCAAAGCCAACCACCAAAGAAAAAAAAAAAGAGTATTGATTATATGGTATTTTCAACGAACAATAATTGTCTAATTGAAAAATTAAAAACAAAAATTGTTTAATTAGGTATACAATAATGCTATTGATTTTAATATTATTTAATTATAATAAACCGCACGATATAAACCCGATTCGAAAATATCCCTCCTGCAGCGTTATTAAAAATAAAATAACTATCGACCGAGTGATGGTCGACACGCCATTTCAATTACTTAAAAACCTGAAACACAATTGACTTTTTATTGGGTGTGCATATTATACCGGTGAGATAGACGAATAAATTTGTGGTCGGAATGTGCTACGGACGTTATTACAACACCCCTAACCCGGAAACATCCCTGTTTAAAATCGGCTCGCGTCTAGTCCCTTCACCGCTATTCACTCTCTCTGTCCCTCTATCTCTCTCTCTCTCTCTCTCAGCCGTTTTTCGCGTATTAAATCTCATCTCGGCGTCGTTATAAATTTACCAAAGTGCACGGATTTCCAAAATTGGACAGCCACGCTCCTCTCGTACTTAAATTAAGTACGTACAGAGACTACTGCAGCAAGTTTATTCAACCGTTTTCATTATATTATTATACGTCTTAAAACATATCACGGGTTTTTATTACAACTGTGCGATAATCAACAAAAACGACCGAATATGTTTCGGTTTTTCTGTATTTACACAGATATGTATTTGCATCCAACATTAGTACTGCATAGTGCACACAGCAGCGGATAAAATTTTAAAAATTATAGAAAAAGAAATTTAAAGTAACGATAGATCACACACTGATCAATATAACATATCCAACTTCGGGAAATCATCTCACTTTATTTATTTTTTTGTATTTTCTACAATACATTTGTGTAAACAAGGGATTTTGAGTCTGGTCATAATAAAAAGTAACTAGAGAAATCGTTTCAACACGAATGACGATATATCCATAAAGCTCTGAGCAACAGTATACATTCCAAAATTTCAAAACTTGTAAAAGAAGACCAAGCTCAAACATCACATTGCATGGTTTTATTTTAAGTTGTAAATTATAATCGAAAACTAATAACCCGATAAATTTGTGAAAAAGAGTAATCCTAATTTATAAGAGCCAAAAAGACTCCCTTTAAACTGAAATGATCGGCGACATATCGAAAGTTCTCTAAGTGCCCGTACTGTCTCAAACATTGGGAAACATTGCTTTAGGGGTAAGTAAAATATTATGTAATCATTTGTTTACCTAGAAATTAACGGTATAGTTTAACCGAAATCATAATAGTTAAGGGGAAAAATCGTTTTTAAAAAGATATAATAACTTTATAAAACGAATCATCATCGTTTGCATACGGAACTGAACGACAGTATACATTATTATTATTTGAATACTTTATGATACGCTACGTAATAATAATAATATTCGGCGACGACGGAAATAATAATAATATAACTATGGAAAGAACCCGTCATATTCGTTTTTGTACCTACTATAAATGATATAATATATTATACAAATTGTTTCATTTGAATAGTAACACAAAATATTTCGACCAGATGGATTTAGATTGAAATAAGTTTTTTGTTTCTCAGAAATATCGGAGATTCGGAAATATACATGTTGATCATATTTTCTTAATATTTAACCACTCCGCAATAAAACTTATATTTTCTTAAATAAAAACGCTTAGTTTATATTTTATATTTAGAAACCAATACAATTTTCTATACTGTCTCATAAATTTCCTGCGATACGGCTGCTATGAATAAAGTTTATTTAAAAATGTGATATTTTTTTCTCGGTTTTTTAAAAAACTTTATCTCTTTTTTTTCAAATAATTAAAACACATAGGGTACTTTAATAATGAAGAATTTTGACTATCCATTGCTTTATACAAAAGAAAATTACATTTAATAATAATCATACAAAATTACTTCATAATTGTACACCTACGTTTTAAACTATTTGGGTGTATCTCGGACAATTTTTGAGATTGTAGAAAATTGTACCATTCTATGTTACCAGTGTTTTAAAACGGCGTATCCGTAAAAAACGTAGAAGTTTCAAAGCCCAATAGGCTTAAATTACGAGACTCCCAATCCCCCCCACTCCCGCTCCAAAAAAAAACCCTCATTTCAATCTAAGTTAATCCTTCCGAAATATTTTGTGTTACCATTATAAGTGAAACATCATACTGTATAACAATAATAATAAACTCAATATAAATACTCATGTTCTGCAATCTCAAAGTGCGTATCGTTATGAATTCACCAAAAGTTTTCTGCGAAATCGCACGGGTCCCACTTCCACGATCGCGTGTGTATAGCTGTAAGAGACAGCGAATTTGTTTAAACCTGAATTATGTGTCTACAGCTGCCACGTGCGGTCTCATATATTATATTTTAATAATCGATGTAGGTACCTGTAATATAATATTTTATTTTATTTCATTGTACTTTTGTGTCATGTTGAAAATTCACTTAATAAGTGTTACGATATTGATATTATGACGGCTACGCATATAATTAATAACAATTTTACTATAAACGTCAGATTTTATAGACAATTCAGTATTACATTATATTATATAATAATGTACGAAATATGTATTATAAGGCCATACAACACACAAAGCCTCACATCAAACTGCTATAACGTAAATGAGGTGTATCAGATGTATTATAATTATCACGGTGATAGATTGCGGAACGCTTCCGCCAAAACCGGAGCCAGAAGAGAAGGGGGCCTCAGCACATCCACGAAATTTAATAGAAAATTACCGATAAAAATAATCGAGTACATATGTCTATGTAAATAATTATTTAATTATTGGAAATTGGTTAATTTAATTTAATTTAATAAATCAACACCGATACTTAAAGGAACTGACAAGTCTTGATGTTTAGAATCAGATACATTAATTATAATAATATTATTATCTTAAGAAAGTCTATCTTTAACTTCAGTAAAAATATCAGAGCCATAAGATTTAGATCACATTATAAGAGAGTTAACTAACTTATCAATTTTATCACAAAGTAGATTAATTTTAAATTCAAGAGCTAATATTTCTGGTTTTAACTGAGATAATTCAGTGTGTAGAACATCAATTGAAGTCCGCATAAAACAAAAATTATTTTTTAAACTCCGGAGATTTTTATTAATATTCTTAAAGTGATTATCATGATAAGAAACGGTTAATTGCATTGAAACTAATAAATTCCATACATCGGAAATGCTAGGTTCTTTTTCCAAATTCTGATTTAAGCTTAGAACTTTTTTGACAGGAGTATCTTTTTCGGAAGAATTACCACTCATAGTGGGAAATTAATTTCGACAAAATATTTTTTCCAGACAGTAATATAAAATTTCTTCGAAAGTCGCAACAAAAATTAAATACCTTATTTATCGCACAGATAACACATTAGATTAGGTGAATTACAATACCATCACTCCTTTAATGAACCATAACGATAAAATGGTGATAAAACCTAGCGAATAGTGATTGTTTATTTGTATATTAATATTAATACTCGATAAACGATAAAAACGATTCAACGGCATACGTCCGATTCATATGACGGTCCGCACTACACTGTTGCTACATTTGTTATTCACTAAATAACATAAAACATTTTGTGTTGGAACGTTGTAAATTAATTAATATTAACACATTTATATTTAACTGATTTTGTGCCGTAAGTTTTAATATAAGAGAGTACTGACCTACTATCAGACTTAAAGGTAAAGACATAGTATGTGTTTATACGTTGGGTTTTTTTTTTTCGATATTTTTATTTTCGTGTCAGATTTAATGATTTTAAAATTGTGATATTTCACACATTTTTAACTCGCTATAAAATTAAAATATCGAGATAAAAACCAATATACAAAAACAGACAGCGTTAAGTTCAAGTTTGATAATAGGCTTATAAACTCGAATATCAAAACTAATAGCACAAAATCAATTTTTATGTACAAAAAGGATAAATATGATGGCATTATATTATATTCATGGACGCATCCAAATTATGTCAAAAAATTATATTTTGTATATATGTATAGTTTCATTCACGTATTTTTCATGACGAAATCACACATTGTTGTGTTGTCAAAGACGCTGAAAAGCCTTGTTACCGCTCTGTTGTACATATCTACGTATCTAAAGTATCAAAAATACTAGTTAACCTGCCGACAAAACGTGTCGTGAGAAAATCGCCAACGCAACTTAATCATCGCCGTGTTATTTATTTGGTTTTGTTTTTTTTTATAGACGCAATTCGGATTTTGCCACAAATATATACAATCTTTTGTAATCTGTGTATCATATATTGTACTGATGAAATCAAATGTGTATTCCAATTTATGCAAGAAAACATTATAAAAAAGTTTAGATGGTGAAATCTGGATACAGCGATCTTTTACTACAAAGATATTTTCGATGACTTGGACTATTCGACTATTAAAAAAAAACGTCAATCGTGTAATTTCATTTGGTGTTTTTTTTCATAAATTCTTATTGTAAATTTTAAATTTTCCTAACATAATCATCAGAACGGTTAAAATGGTTTTACGGTTTTTCCACACGTATCTATAAATAGTTTTTTAATATAATATTATTCGGGACACAGTAAACGTACTCAAAATTCAGCTACCTTTAAACAGTTAGGTAATTATGTTAGGTAACACAGACGATAGTGTCTATATACTTTAGAAAGGTTGTTTCTCGAATTTCCTGATTAAATAAACACTAGACATTTTTAAAACCGATTTTTTTTTTTTTTAAATAACCACGACAAGAAATGTTAACAATCGTTTAAACTTTATTTTATAGAACTCCACTTAGAATCATTCTGCGATTACTATAATAATCATGTCATTTAACTTAAAAATATTGTACGTAGATTAACGAACTGACAGGATATCCTACCCAACGTTCGTTTTCTGTGATCAAAAAATTAAATATCAAAATAACCAAACAAATATATATTAAATACCTGCATAGGTAGATGTTAGCCATGAAAACCATCTATGGATAACATAGTCATATTTTGATTCTACTTTTAGAGAAACTGTCAAGATTCCAGACAAATCCGCGTTCATTAAAATATCCAGAGTATTTCTATTAAGCGAAAAATTGTGTTTTAAGAAACAAAAAATACATTTCTTAATAAAGCTTACAGCTTTATTTCTACACTCGAAATTTAAAAACTTATTGATGTCAATAGAGACTTTTTGGCCAAATAATTTTGTCTAGAATAAAAAATTTAAAATATATACGTTATATTCTTTTTCGATGCCTTCAACCTCCAAAATTATATCCTTCGAGTCACAACAAAAAATGTCTACAGATATTTTTCAAAGAGTTAATTATTAAGAAAAAGAAAAAACATAGAAGGAAAACACACAGATACAACACAATATTGTTGTGGATGCAATTACATTTGAAATCGAGATACAACAATAGAGAAGAAAACAGAAGTGATGAAGAGAGTGAACACTGACGGTAGTATTCAGTTAGGGTTTAGCTACTACAAATGATGGGAAAAAATAAACGCGTTGAAGTTTCTTTAGTGCACATTTGTAAGAGGCCAATCATTGAGAAACAAAACAATAGGTTGTGACGAAAAATGTTCGTTTGTGTTTGAATCAAACTTTTAATAATTTTTTTTATTACATTTCTAATTTCGTTATTTGTGTCAAATATTAAAAAAAAAAAAAAAGGTCTTAAATAACTGATAAAAATTTAAACTCACTTAAATGCATATTATTATTATAAAATAAATTTAATATAAAAGTTATTCCGGCCACTTAATAAAAAACAATCAGACAATACAAGTATGTTATTTTAAAACAACAAAAGGCAAAAAAAGCTAAAAAAAAAAAAAAAAAATAATTTTTTTCGATATTTTAATACTATATCTAACATTATTGGATACAAAAAAATATGTAAATGTTATTGGAACAATTATTTTTACCGATCATGTGGGAGGTAAAAACAAGTAAGTATTGTAAAACAGTGTCGAATGATATCTCTAACGAAATAACGTCACGTATGTTACTAATTTGTATTTCTAATCCTCAGATTGACTCAGTGATTTCGAGGGTCGTTATCCTCAGAAACAAAATAATGCAATAGTTTTATTTTGCTTTTTACATTGTTTCTACATGATGAGTCAGTTCTAAAGTTGTCCTCAAGTAGCCATCATCAAACACTTCCATTTCCGATAGATTCACTGTGGACGTTTATAGTGACTACTACTATTCGTCAATACTTTTAATATTAATCAACTCTTACGATAAGCAAAAATTACTGTAGTTCTAATACTCTATAAGTCTAAACCCAAACCAAAGAAGTAACAAAACAAAAAAAATCACATAAATCGAAAAAAAATTATTTACTTATTTATTTATTAATATTACCCCAAAAGGTAAAAGTACAGATGTATGTATGAAATCAAAAATAAAACAACTAAAACCTAAACACCTATAATCAAAGCTTGGCACAAGAAATAAGTTCGAATAAAATTGAAAAATGGTTTTTCAATTTATAGTAGGTAATCGAATAAAGAAATATAGAAATTTAAATTTAAAAATCCGACGCTATCACAGTAATTTCACGTTTCAATTGTACAATAAAGTATCGTTGAGCCTAGAAAAAAGTGTCTAACAAACAGCCGACGGAAAAAGAAAACCCGAAATTCACTACTGTAAAATTTAATTTTTTTTTTTACAAATGAAATCGCTAAACATAATAATTAATACCTAAGTGCAATGAATGTTTTATCAGTTACGAATTTCTATACCTACCTAGTATAATAAAACAGAAGCGGAAAAATAATATCGTTATATTCCTTTTTCTGAAAATAGCATTACTGGCACAGACGGCATAATATTAAAATGCTAAATTACGTGTTCGCGTATACACACCGTGCAGCGATCGCGTATAAGAACAGTTTAATAAAACGCCAGTTTGAATTCCAAAATACGTGAATTCGTTTCCTGAAAGGTGTACCTACGGTAAATTTCAATTCTATTACGGATAGGAATTTTCATTAAATTGAAAAAAACGAACGCAATAATGGGGGAAATACTGTGCCGGCGCGAAAATGGAATAACGATATATTTACTTACCTACCCCACTCTACCTAGTACCTATTCTACCTTCTTTAAAAGCGACTTCAAAATAATCTACTTTGGATAAATCCGTTCACGTAGACATAGTCACTTAATATGCATAAATAATAATATTATTTTCAATATTAAATGTAATTTTTTGTCATCGAGAAGCAATAAGTTGTAAAAAAAAAAAATTATATATTGTTTTAGAATGTGTCACTGTTTTAGAAGAGAAATTGCAAACGAATATATATAGAATAATTGAACTTATATAAACAGGGTGATTCAGTATGCGTGATCACTAATGGAAAACGATTTTGCAAAACAGTGTATCATTAATAGTATTTTTTTTAATATTGTTACGTATAAAAATTTAAACGGAATATGTCTAAAAACTTTATTATATAAAGCATTTCTTGAGGATTATTTTGCAAAATATATTATAATTCTGTAATACCAAAGAATATTAGTATTAGCATCGAGTTAGTAGTATAAATGTGCAAAGATTATTATTTTATTAGTTGTAAGTTTGCATTAACGAATAATTTATACTTATTTATTATTATGTTTTTTATTTCTTATTTTTTTTTTTAACCCGAACAGTGGGAGATGTCTGAAGCCTACATACTGCAGGGTGCACTATTCTGGGTCAACCCATTTTTTGTACGTATGTGAAATCTGATAGAATTAGTAAAAATTTAAATTACTGTTTAATTAAGTTCTAAATACATCATTTTTTTTTTTTTATGTCTAAGAAAATATTTAATTGTTATAATTAAAATAAAACTTTATCAGAAACTTTTTTTTATCTTACCATTTAAAACTATCCACTACATAAGTACACAAGGAGGCAAACTTTACTTTTATTTTATTTTTTTTTATTATTCCACAAAAATACGCAGTACCCATTTCTAAATTATTTTTGTTGGCTTAATAAAAGAGATTCGTTAAAGTCCCTCGAGAGAATTAAAAAAAAAAAATTATAGAGATAATTTTTATCGGTAAATTAGTAGGTATTTTTTAATAATTTTAAACATATTATGTTGGCATAAAAGTAAAAAAATTAAAACAACAGTACCTATTAAAAATAACGAAAATATTAATCTTTTCTTTTTTTGAAAAATAAAAAGAGGATTTGGAGAAAAAATTAAATGGAAAAATTATGTATTTAGGCAGGATTTTTTATTTTTTTTTTTTTTTTTTTTTTATCATGAATAAATATTTCTACAAACAAATACTATTCGAAAACGTGTCCGAATATCCAATTTAAGTTAAATTCTGGGCAGAAATGTTGGTAGGTACAGTTTAATATTAGTCCGTCGTTACTAGAGTTTAAATATTAAAAAGTAGTGAGTGTAACATGTGCTTTTGAGTACGTGAAAACGTTATAGTCAATGAATCATATTATTTCGTTTTTATATATAAATGTCGTACGATTGTTTTTTGTTTAAACTTTTGTAAACACTTGCCCAAGTTTGAAAAAACGTACATATCCACCAGAAACACGTGTGAAAAAATAAAAATCATAACGTGCATTTCGACGCTAGAATATTATAATATAGTATATTCACTGCAGAATCAGAGTCGAATGTAAAAGGCAATAAAAAATGCGTTTCCCAGAAAAACAGCGGAAATTGTTAGATACATATAATATTATTATAATTTACTCGAAATATTGTTTTATTGGATAGCGATTACATAGAAATATAGTGATTTTTTACGTCTGACGTAAAACACAGATTTCAGAAGAAAATAGTTGTTTGTTTAATTAAATAAACGCGTTTCTAAAACTATGTCTTTCACATTTATTTTTTAAACGATTATACTAACTTTTGGTTTTCAAATGACTGCCTATAGTATAATAGAACTTCCTAAAAATATTTATATGAAATCAAATAAATATTCGTATGCTGAAATATTGAATTTGTATCGGCCCGTTTTCTCATCATCGGCGAGATATTTTACAATTTTAGACTCAGAGCGTAGTGAGGGATCTATTAGTTCTACTACGATGTGTCCTTTTGTGTGTATGTGTGTGTCTGTGAACAACTTTTCTACCTGAAATCTTGCTCCAATTTATAGAGTTCACCTTTTCTGTTTACTATGTTTAATACCGAAAATATTTTTCTAATTGAAAAATGACAAGATATCGATTATGTTCCATTAACATATACCACTGAAGAAGAAAGTCGTTTTTGATACCCAAAGTAGTTTTCATAATAATTAGGAAAACCCAAAAGAAACAAAAAATACGATTTATCAAATTACTGAACAGAAATGTTTGACAATTGACAAAAAGTTCATTATAAGTCGTACTTAGTGTAATTTTGCATTTTAGATTCCGAGCCTAGCTGGAAAGCTATTAGTTTTACTAGGATGTTTTTTTTCTTTCTTTTTTTCTAGTAAACTTTCTCCGATTTTTACATATAGCAACTTTTCTGAAACCCCAAGTTTTCTAAATTGTACTTTAAAGAGGTAACTTTTTTTGATTTTCAAAGCCATTTTTTTAAATAAAAGCACTTAAGTGGGAAAAAACGTAGGAAAACGTACAACATCACGATTTCATTATTTTATAAAAACACGGACGTTTTCTACCAGAAAAAATAATTTAATAAAAAAATCACAGGATACCTTTTTTGTTGCCTTTTTGGTTTAGTTTCTTACTGTATCATCGCCAAAACTTTTGAGCCACTTTTGAGCTTTTAAGGAATTTTAATTTTTGGAAGTTTTTTTGCTTTAAATCGGTTATAAAACACGTAGATACTTGAAACTTAGTAATAATAATTTGATTGGACTTGCTTAGACGTGGTCAAATTTCCAAAATCATTTAACCGCTTTTTTTTCTAATAAGCGTTTTGAAATCAAATTTTAATGAAAATCACAAAAAAATTTACGGCACTTCAAATTATTTATTACCGCACTGCGCTCGGAATCGTATATCGTCAAGCAATGATTTATCGTTGCTTGCAGATATAAATTAAATAACTTTATGCATCCTACCTTCTCAACTTCTAACCTAAAACAGTGGCCGCTCCCATCCCCATTATCAGCTTTTTTGATGGACACGTTAGCAGTTTACTTTTCATGTCAAAAAAAAAAAAACTAAAGGAAAAACTTGAATACAAGATACGTATGAGTGTCTTATGGGAAAAATCACCCTGTACACGGGATGTTTGGTGTTATCAAAGATTGATCAACTCTCGAATGTTTATCAATAATTTAAATAACGTCTTCGTCGCCAAGTTTTCCGAGGTGTAGCGTACTATTCTATACTAATGGACAATCGCGTTGTGTAAACGTTTATTATTCTACATTAGTAACCCGCGATGGGCAAACTATATAAGCCTGAATTTAGTTTACTTACGAGTACTTTAGTTTCAATCTACCACGAAAAGGTTGCTCGCTAAAAACACCATATATAATGTAATTTTCTAATTTTGAATAAAGTGAAACTCAAGTAGATGAATAAAAACATAAATACAACTCACTGCAAAATCGAATAATATTAACAGTTGAATGTATATTTTACTAACATTCCATTTGTTTTATTTTATTGTCTTTAACAGTTAAATAAAAGTTTGATTAGTGTTGTCGTTTCCAAACAAATATTAATTGAAAAATAAAACACATAATCTATATTTAAAGATAAACGGCACTAAGCAGTTAAAAAGTTAGAATATAGTTCTATATATAATATAGTTAATAAGTAATTTTTTCTAGTTTTCAGTAGGTATTTTTTAACCTTTATGTATTTTAAATGTCATAATAATATTTACGATTTGGCTACCAACACAACATGATTATTGTACACATGATAAGATAAAGAAAAGCGCTACAAAAATAAGTTTATAAACAGAATCAAAGAGGGATCTAAAAAGATAAAAAAAACTTAATTTTATTTGCAAACAGATACTACTTTGAACTATTAACACTGTTTAAATCTAAATCGCTTTCAAGAAGATCGAATATAACTTACACTATACAAAGTTCTGATTAAACCAGTAGCGTATAAAAAATGGGCATTGGGCAACCACAAAAACAGACGAAAACAAACTGGGTGTTTTGAAAGAGAAATATTTGGAACGAAAAAGAACAAAAAAGTTTATGTTTTTGAAAAAGGCCAAATAAGGTATTGAGAAGTTTTTTATGGAGAAACCAGTATTATAGGAGTTATAAAAAAACAGCAGAATAAAATGGGCCGATTTTATATGGAAATCCAATCGTATACTGGAAAACATAATAAAGGGGAAATAGAACTCAATATGATCCTGAGTACGGCCTATATGGTCTGATAAAATAAAGGAAAGACTAAAAAAAGTTTGAATAGAGCAAGCAGAAGAGACATTATCGGACAGAGAGAAATGGATGAATTTTGTTGGTGCAACAATGGACCCCTTAATGGTCTTTAATGTTTTCAAAAGAAGAAAGAGACAAAATTAGTGTTATGTATGTTTGAAATTAAATTAAATTTCATTAAATAAGTTTAATTTTTAAATATACTTTTGTTTAGGCTACTGAAAAAAAAACTAATTTAAGGTATTATTTTTACAGAGTAATATCTAACTTATGAGACAGTTTGTAAATTTAAAAAAAACTTCCAATCTAATTTTAATGATTTTTCATAATAACTAACTTAACTTCAATAAGTTAGATATTTAATGACACTTAACCAGCATTGCCTATAATACCTATACTCATACCTATCAGTAAAATTAATAATTCTTGTTTAAAATATGTAAAATATTATAACGTAAACAAATTTAAAAATTATTTGTGCGTGTTCCATAAAAATTTCATATAAAATGTAATTTATTTCTCCGTTATTATATAGCTAAATTTTTAAGCAATTCAACTGTTTTTACAAATATATAATTTTATACGAACGAATTTTTCAACGACAAAATATGTATATATATTTATATCCTGCGTTATAGGGTACGTAACAACAAATTTATGTTAACACTGATGTTCGATAGACATTTCGTTTAAAGCATTCGAACACAAACGTCTATATAATAGAAAACTTTTTTATTTATAATTCGGTATAGTCAAAATATTTGTTTGCATACTAGAATGAAAACAAGTTTCTTGAATTCCCTTAGGTTCCGATTTTCGTCAACCACTTTTACATTACTTCAATAATGCCGTATATAGTAGTAGACTAAAAATAAAAACACTCAAAACAGTACATAAAAAAAAATATAGACCTTACAACTTATTCCTATACCCCGCTTATTATTATTTACGCCATTATACTTATTTTTAAAGCCAAAATACTAACGTGTGTTATCTATATATCGTTTCGTTTAGCGTTTGGCCAATACCCATTTAAGGGGAATTGGTAAGGCTGATTTTATGGACGAATATAAGGTCTTAGATCAGTGATTTGCAACAGTTTATGAAACGCAACCCCTAATTTTTTTTCACTAACGATGACCTCTTCAAAAATCGTTTGATAGAACTTGAATAATACGATATACAGTATACATATGATATACATGATACTTATAGTTTTTGGCCACTCCCTAACTATGACTCGCGACCCATTGAAAACCTGCACTGTCTTAGACCAATAATCTGGAGTTAAATTCACTCAATTCCGTTCTTCCAATTTTAATTTGAAAACATAATTGAACTGTAAATTCTGAGTTTTGCACTTATTCTGAATAGGTTAGAAAGCTTACTATAATTATCAAGCATAGCACTTTTTATGAAAGGAAATGTTCTCTAGGTGGTACTTTAAAGAATCAATTTTTTTAAACTCTCATTAATATTCGAGATAATAATAAAAACCTGCTTCTTTAGGTTAAAAAAGATTAAAAGATTAAAAATAAAGTTGTCATGGGCAACCACTTTTCCTTATTTTTTGTTATTATTAAGTTTTTATTATTTTATTCTTTATTAAACAATCATTGTTGTTACGTAAACGCACATTGTTGTAATCATTTTACCATAATATGACATATGTATTGTTAACAAAGCAACACTATCAACTAAACTCCGGTCAGAATCGTTTTTTCGTTAGCAATGGTTTATCTTTCCTTATAGATATATATTAAATTCCCGTCTATGTCGTACCTTCCCAGCTTCCCACCTACAACAGTTGTTTGCAACCACGTGCAAAGTATGTCCGTCCTTTTTTTTTTTTTGATTTCATGTTAATATTTTGTACTAATTATATATTCGTTTTTTTAATTTAGTTCAATTAGTATTTAAGCATATGATGAATTATCTTTTTTCTTAAAATAAAATAATAATATCTCATTAAAAAGTGTCAAAACTGTCATTGCAGTAAACCCTAACTAAGTGAATGATAATATTCAATTTCAAAATCTGCAAAGCTAATAATTTCTTAGATATTTTTTTATTTTTGTTTGTAGGTATACAATAGGAACTTCATAATACGTGATAATATTACTGTTATACAATATTATCGTCAAATATATTATTTATCAAAAAACAAAATAACAAGGAAAAACCAAGATTTACACTGCTACCAAAAATATCGGTAACCGATGCATTATAGAAACCAACAATTTCAGGTTAACCAATTACCAATTAAAAACCATTTATTAATTTTCTAATTACTGGTTACCAGAAAGAACTAATTTAAAAAAAAAAAATTAATTTATGAGTTGTTCTGTTGCGATAGAACAGTTCACTGATATTCACACTAGAGTCGTGAACAACAAATGCAGTGATATTAATGATAGCAATTACTGTAGAGTTAATTTGCGAGCGGCAAACGTTTCAAACGTTTGATAACATATCAAATAAAAAACAAATACAGTAATTCAGTGTATTCGTTTAGCAAAATGTAAACTTTAGCAATATTTTTGTTAACACCGATAGACGACGACGTTTGTTCTGTTCATTGACCGAAAGCAAGAATTCACTAGAGAAATTTCACACTCCCAGTAAAATATTAAGGAAGTCAATAATCACTATACATAATTAAACTATACTGGGTGGGAGCTCTCCCTATTTGATTAAATTTCATTAGGGAATATTGTAACACCCAGTAAGATCTATCTAGAGAAAATTTCCCTAGTGGTAAAATATTCACCAATGAAATTTGAACCCCTCGATAGTTAATCGAGAAAGTTTAATTTTACAAGTAAAATTTACTGGGGAGGGGAGGGGGTCAAATATCACGGTAGTAGATTTTCATAATAATCCAGCATGAAAAAAATTACTGCCTACATTCAATAATAATTATTATTACGCCACGCCGTTGGAATTTCATTTCGTGCAAAATCAACGCAGATCCACGAGAATAAAATAATTTTTTTTTCGATTTACATTGCAACTGTACAATAACTCGGAAAGCTTTCAATTTGCCATTTCTGTATACCCGTGATGTTATTTCCTATACGCCGAATCTAATTATTTATCAAAATGCGTACGGAACGCATAAATGTATGTATATTTCCAATATCCGTTTTTCGAGGATTTGCGTAATCGCACTCTCCACCGAGTACCGCAGTAATAAACCATCGTCCGTGATTAACTATACTGTACTATAGCTTATGATAACCGCATATTAAACGAAATATATTATAAAGGAGAAAAAAATAATAATGTAAATTGTATTTTTATTTTGTTATATCAGTTTATTATATCAATACAAAAATAATTATCCATATAATTTTTGTACTAGTTCCGGTGTGCCAGTGATTATTGCTCCCGTGATATTTAACCGGCACGTAGGGAGGAGGTTAAATTTCACTAAACAAATTTTACCTCCCAGATTAAATATCACAGGGGTCAATTTTCGCAGTTGCACCAGCATCTCAATTATCTTATCATCGATTGTTATATATATGTATATATATATTTTTTTTTATGTACCTAGGTATAGATTAAACTTTCATTAAATAATAAAGTCTATACAACTACACGTCTTTGCTTTTATTCGCGATTTTTTATAAAATATTATTAATCGATAATGTTCCATCCTGTGAATTAAGTATTAGTCATAAGTGCTCGAGGACGAAATCATATTATTTAAACTCCGTGGTACAATTTATTGAAATCTAAATAATCTCCATATTTGATAGATTTCAACAAATACATAATACACTAATTCTAAGTAGGTATTGCGAAATCTGTATATAATGAATAAATTATACAACAAAATAAGTGAGCTTTTGCAAGATGTATCGATCTACTTTTCGTTCGAAACGTTTTATTCACGATTTGAATTATTGAAAAATCTTACTTGGTCACACATTTTTGATTTTTCCGAAAAAAATATCACGTTTTATTTGTACAAATTCAAATAATGAAATTAAAAAAAAAAAAGTTAAGTTGAACATGTTTTTAAATACTATGGTTTGTACGATCTTCGTTAAAACTTGAACTTGAAAAAGTTTATAAAATCTACATTACAATCATTTTTTTTTTTACCACAAAATACTTTTCATATTTTTCAGAGCTTATTTTAAAAATATTAAAAAAACTGCAAAAATGACCGCTATAATGCAGCAATCAGATAACATTTATAAGTAGAAAA